ATTATCAGCAAATAATATTAAACGAGCATTCAAGAAACACATACTTAAAGTCATACTAACATTAAAAGGTGTAGTAGCTTACAAGTTTTATTTACGCCCATTCTACTATTAGAGATAAGCTGTAATACTGAAAATTCTGTAGTGCATTAATATGTGCTTATTTAACAATTATTATCATGTTCATGTGTATCGAGTAAAATCTTGTTTAAACTTACAAAACATGTATTTTTAAAATTATTCGTTATAAATAGCTCACTGTTTCACATTTTTGAAATTAATTAGCAATTTTTTTATTCCCAGAAATTTCAAAAATACTTTCGTAGTAAACCTTTTTTTCTAATGATAAGTTTAAGTATACAGCGGTGTGTAACGTACTACAGATGACGTTAAATTGGTTTTGTATTAGTCAAAGATTACGTTATGTATACATATTTATGTATAATGTATATTATTATATGTATGTATTTACAATATTTTCGATTAAACCGAATATAAGAAAATAAATATAATATAATAAGGATAGAATAATTATAATCTTTATTTTATTTTTATACTTTTAAACGAATTTTCAATAACATTTTGCATTTAATTTGTTAGCTATTTATCTTATCGGTCACGTTTGGCTCAGTTTGTAGTGACCCTACTTGATGTGCCAACGGTCGCGGGTTCGAGTCCCACTGGGGGCATTCTTTTGTGTGATTAGCACGTATGTTTGTACTTCAGTCCTGGGTGTTTATATTTATAATATGTATGTATTTAATGTTATATATGTATTTGTAGTGTATCAACTATGTGGTATCCATAACACACGCCTCGTAGCTTTCCATGGGACTAGATGACACAGCACCTTCTTCCAACATATTTATATATTTATTATATTTCACTATATTCAATCACTCTAAATGCAGCACAATGCGATTCATAAGTCTCCAAAGTTAGATGCATTATAAATACCCGCATGAATACCATTGGTATCCAAGCAAAAGGTATAAAGAGTAGTTTATTCTGCCTAAAGGAGACACGATACTCATCTCATTGCATTATGCGAGACTTAAATTGGATCTTCTTGGAATTTTTAGCTTGAAATGGCGCTCGCAATAAAATTTATTGCAAAGTATTTGACCCCGAACAAAATCTATTCGTGAATCGCTCCGGATTCAATTAAAGCTGGCTTAGAATAACATTTTTAAGTGGATACTTAAAAGAGTATAAAATTTAAGGTACGGAAGGTCAATAAACATTAAATCTATGCATACATTACTTGTGTTTCATACCAAAAAATGTAAATTTGAACAGTAAGTAGCGGTCCAAGTGACCAAATAATTTAGACCGTCCACCTTACTCAGATGAACGGAACACGAACAATGTCAAATATACACTTCGATGCAGCCAAAGTGTTCAAAAGTGTCGTAACACTTTCGGTTTCCACTCACAGTAAAATAAACCTTAATTTAGAAACTTAATGTTCAATTTCGAGAGATATAATTCTAAATTTCATTTTGAATGACATTTTCGAATGACATTTTTGTATACAATAATAAAATTGTTCGCTTAAAGTTCAATCGTAACTGAGTATCTGTTACTGTAGAACTTTAACTGCACCAAATCTTAAAAGTTCCAATAAAAATATTAATTCGGCAAAACTTAAACTTGAACACACACTTAATAGTGCAAATCTAAATCGTTTTATGAAAATCGCTCATTTAACTTCTACTAGCATTTGACATTCGATAATTCTTCGGTTTTATTTAACAGCATTAATATATAAATAATTAGGTTAGTTTCATGTTCTCAAATATCTTACTTAACCTAACCCAAATATGACTGCTGCTCCTGATCTAAAACTTTTATCATTAAGACTAAAAATATCCATACTAGAAAATCTTTTGATCTGCCCTAGTTCAAAATTATGCAGTAAGATTCTCATCTTCGTATTAATTACGTAACTTGACCTAGCCTACGTCAGTTAGCTTGCTTGTAGTTAAATTAACAAAAAATCGATCTAAAGTATTTATCGTTTGTAATAAATGAAAAAAAATCCAAAAAACTAACAGATATTTCTGTTTAAATTTAAAAACAGCTGATCAGGATTGTCTATTATAAAACCACCTTCTATGATAGACATTCCTAATGAACTACGTTTGATTCGACGTGAATAAATGATTTTGTGGTTTATTTCATCGTTAATTCACTTTCGTATTAATAATATTAAAAAATATTAGTTTTATTCATTTATTTTATTTAATTAATTTTCAATAATTAAAAATATAACTATGCTTCAAAATTCCTTTATTTGTTTGTTCAAATGCAATTATAAAACTTAACGCGCCGCTGATATCTATACATATAATAAAATTGTAACTAAGCCGAATCTGTACATTAAATATTTTTTGGAAAATCTTATTAAAATAAATATTATTTTCGATACAGAGGCCGAATCTATACTTTTTAGAATTTTTGTCTGTATGTCTGTCTGTCTGTTACCGCATCACAGAAAAACCACTGGAGGGATTTTGATGAAATTTGGTATGGTGATAGCTGGTTATCCGGGTCAACATATAGGATACTTTTTACCGCTGGAAAATATCTCCTTTCTGGGAAAAAATACAAAAACTGCATTGTAAGAGTATACTAATATGTAAAACCTAAGAATTTGGTTTTTGGTTATCTGAACGCTGGCGGAGCCGCGGGCAATGCTAGTCATGTATAAAATTAAAAATATAGAAATTAAAAGTTATAATCTTCTTCGAATAATTTGAAGATGTTGGTGATACATATGTACCTACATATATGTATATTTAAGTGGGATGAATATGTTTGTTTAATTATTTGATCATCTTGAGTGCTTCGTATTATTATATGATGCTAGCTCTATATATATTGGTGCTGACAATCGTATTCCTCGTCATATTGTGTTTTAAAGGTAATCAATAAAAATTCAATCAATTTTTGTTATTATTCAATTACGGTGTGTGGATATTATGATGAAACCTGCATGATTGTCGATTTTTTTAACATTTTTTGGCTTTATTTTTATATATTTAAATCAAATCGAACGTCGAAAACTTATTTCACTTGTCGTATTAATTTCAAACTTTGTAAGTATAAAAATCGAACGACAGTACAAAAATTTGAGACAATCGAGCTAATTCGATGGAGGAACTTTTCAAAGGCTGCAAACAAAGGCTTTCAAGTAAAACCTTTGAGTGTGCGTCCTTTAATTTATTATTTTTTTACCTGTCTAGCTGATTGCTCAGCTAATATTTACCAATGTCAAATGTATACATAAACATTAAATACAATGTATGTACATGTTAAAAGAACATTTATGTTAATTTATTGTAGCATCACGTTTAACTGAAATCATAATAACAGTCGAAATCGACATGTACACAAACCAGGAAAACGTATAAAATATAATAAAAAAACAAATGAATGATTAGTGATGTCATATGAAAAAAACGACATTGTTTTTACCTATGCCTTTTTAAACCTACTTATAGTTTATTTTTTTTAGAAAAATCTTATTTATCTTAAAGCTCTTTAAAGTAACATAAAACTAGACACAAACTACGAGACTCATAAACCTAGACAATATAAACGAGGGGTGTCAATATCAAACGCCACATCTTTTCTTAACAGTATTATGATTTAGCATACATAATATGATCTACATTATTAATTACATTATTTTAAATAATAGCTATATATAAAGAGCAGGCACATCTTTTAGGAAGAATTTACTTCGTCAATGTTACAAAGAATGATTAATCATAGTTAAATTGATCTATCAAAAAAGTGTGTTAAATACATTTATAAAAAAATACATACATTGAACCGAAACTTGCAAGGGCGGATAACGAACCCGTATCTTCCGATTTCCAAAAGTGAGTAACTATGTTACTTATGCCCGATTTCACCAACGTCACCTAAGTTTAATCCCCTAAGCATGGTTAGGGGGTTGTTAGTTGACAGTTTCTCTTTCACCGACAGTAAGGGGTCACCTAAATATTAAAAGGCCCCCTAAATTTAGGTGCTCGAAATATGGGCTTAAAGACGATCGTAAAACGAAATTTAATTTAGGGGCTAGTTTAGGGGATTTTTAAGCTAGGGATCCCATACGTAGGTGGTAGCTTATGGGTTGTTGGTGAAATCGGGCATTAGACTCAGACCCTAATACGCCGAAAGAGCTAAGCGTGAAGAAAAAATAAGTTAAAAGTTTGATTGCCAATAATAATAATTATGGTAATTACCTACTATAACATTTTCTGTACATTTTATTTATAATGTACACTTTTCCTTACAAATCATTACATACCCTAGACATAATATACCTATAAGGTACTCGTATTTACGCCACTTAACGTCTCCGATTAAACTTATTCTATAAAGGCAACAAGGCGATTTTATCGCAATTTCAACTTTATATTCATGTACAATAAAAACTACGGGTTTAAGCCCTTACATGGTCAACAGTATATGTTTATGCAGTGTCGGCTAATGCACAAACGCATCGGGCGCATTCACTCCATTAACTTAACGAACAGTTGTCGAGATGTCGATCAAACCACATCTCAATGCCTTCACAATGTACATTATGGATACAACACCCACACGTTATTATAATTCCCACCAGGCTCGAGCTATTGAGTATTTAATTTTGCCCTTGTTTAATCTCGCTCAAAGCTTTTTATAATCGCCTTTGTGAAATTATTCAAGGCAACTGGCATTTTATTGTAATATAATATTACACAATATCTCTACACAAAAGTTTGTTATTATAATTGAAATATTTTCAACAAATACCGTGTATTAAATTAATAAATACCTTTAATCCAAAAACTTTTAATTAGTTATTAATAACATATGGAAAACCTTATACAAAAATCTGGATATTGAAAGCGAGTTAAAATAGCTACCTGTACCTAAAAATATTATCGACATTAATTAAATTATTAGAATTAATCTAATTAATGATATTTAATATAAATCCTGAACTACATAAATAGAACCTTACCTTTGACAGCAGCGTTAATTCTATCTAAATGATAGAGCGTCAGTGGAACGGGATCAGTAAGAAGACGGAGATGCTGTATGGCTCCTCTCTTAGTATCAGCAAGTAATCCGTCGCTCAAAAAGATAGCAGACAGTCGTGGACGCGGAGATGGCGTACAGGAATCGCGTGCGTGCGGACGCTCCACCATCACAGTCGAACCACTTATAGAGTCCACATTTAGTCCTTCCTGTTTGACGAACATCTTTAATTCACTCTCGTCACCTTTCAAAACCCGTCGCATATAAACCCTATACAAATTCGACCTCTTTACCCGAATCTCATGCATCGATCTAAACTTCTTAACCGTCAAAACTTTACCCGTAAAAATAAACTTTGACTTCCCTATCGCTTCCATCAAAGCCCATTCGTCCTCAATAAGGCTTTCATTGAAATTGCATGGCGGTAGAATAGCTCTATGCCTTCTGTGTACGTTGTTTCGTTTTCTTACTTTGCCGCGGATTCGAATCTCGCTTCCGACGACGATCGCTAGAGCGATAACATAAACAATAACTATTGATGGCTTCATGTTGCTGATCGCAGTAAACACTTTTATATATAAAAACTAAAAAAGGTTTTTGTCACATTATTTAAATTATTTATGTATCCAGAAGCTCGTAAAGTGCCGGCGATGGTGTATCAAAGAGACAAAATGTTTCATTTCACTTACAGAAAGTCATCAAATTTAAATATGCAATATAATAAGCAGATATAAAGTTATTTAGAAATTATGTTGCCCTGGTTGTATCTCATAAACGATGCAACATTCTCACAACAGATCGATTAAGTCGAGCTTGTAAACAATCGTACGTGTGAGTGGCGCACAAACACGTGCGCGCGCGCTGCTCGCCGAAGCTAACTGAGTAAAGGCTGTCACGCATAGACCATTGACTCCTATGGATATTAGGAAGCTAGATCTACTAAAGCTATAACTATTTCCATCATTAAAATATACAATTAGGGACCACAGAACTATATATATTATTCTGTTCTGTATAATGTGTACTCGTATATTGTAATAACACGGTCGAACGGAACTTAAGAATAAATAATCTTGTTTAATCTATTTTTACTATACGATGAATATTAACTATACAAATACAAAAAAAATATTGTTAAGTTTAGTTATTAAAGTTTATAATATCATAAGATATTACCCTAATTTTAACCCTATTTTTATTCTAAAATAAATGTAACCTATGTTTACTCCCTATAACATCAGCTATCTTCCAGTGAAAGTCCCGTCAAAATCAGTCCAGCCGTTTCAGAGATTATCCGGAACAAACAGACAGGCAGACAGACAAAAAATTCAAAAAATGTGTTTTTCTTATAAGTACCGTGTATAATTTCATATGCATTTAGTAAAACGCTGTTATTTTGACATTACAAACAGACACTTCAAATTTATTTATCTGTATAGATTAAATTTTCCTAACAACATTTTAACAATACGACTATACTTAGGTTAATGAAATTTAGTAATGAAATTCGAATCTCGTCTTTCGACTTTATTATGCAGGAAATTTTCTCTACACCCAAGCAGTCTTATTTATATATTACGTAACATTAGACAACAAAAAACGTCCAAGGAGAAGCTATGCATAATTCAAGAAGTCTCCTTAAACTTTACCAGACTAGTTGAGATGCAACAGTTGCTTGCCTCAAGCTTTTTAAAAGTTTACCTTAACCTAGGGGTCGCATCCACTGATATTTTTAGTCAAAACAGTCGGTATGCTGTACAAACAAGTCTTGCTTAAGGATTGCTAGGATATCTTCTTGATAATTTCAACATTAAAAATACCTTCTCCCATAAATATAGAAGCAGTCGATATGAATTATTCAATAATAAGCTACTGCTCTGTACTCATGGCTTTGCTCGCGAGTAAAGATCAATTTCATCGACGGTCACTAAACTTGAGATCTACTTTATATAAGAGCTTTTACAACGTTGACATCAAAGTACCCGGATCTATTCGATCGATGGAAATAAAACTTAACTATGTGTTTAATTGAGGACATTATCTGTACAATAAAAATAAGGTCCATTGGTAGTCCTTTGAATAATAAAACTTATATTAGATTACAATAAAAACTAGAGTACGAAAGAATGTTTATGAAGTTATTTTTTATATGACATATCTATACATATAATAAAATTGTAACTAAGTCGAATCTGTACATTAAAATATTTTTTGGAAAATCTAATTGAAATAGACAATATTATCGGTACAGAGTCCAAATCTATAGTTTTTAGAATTTTTGTCTGTCTGTCTGTTACCGCATCACGAGAAAACCACTGGACAGATTTTGATGAAATTTGGTATGATGATAGCTGGTGATCCGGGTCAACATATAGGATACTTTTTACCGCGGGAAAATATCTCATTTCTGAGGAAAAATACAAAAACTGCATTGTAAGAGTATACTAATACGTAAAACCTAAGAATTTGATTTTTAGTCATCTGAACGCGGGCGGAGCCGCGGGCAATGCTAGTTAAAAATACGTCCTTGAATTAGTTACGCTAAATAATTTCATGTTTAATGTAAAAGGTCAAACGCGTAAGTGGAAACTATTGTTTATTATATAAAGGTAAAAGGTAAGGTTTATAGTAAATTACTCCTACTCTCTTAGAGCCTGTCATGAATCTAACAAAGACTTCAATATTTGTCGATAGCCATAAAATAAAGATATTTTTACTCTTATGTCATTATTATTTGAAAACAACAAATTAACAACGATAATGTTCAATTACGAACTGCAGATAAACTTTACAAAAAAAGTTTCCACAAGCAGAGTAGGATATATAAAAGCTATATAAATAAAAAAAAAGGAAAGCAAAGAGCAAGTTTAAGTACTGTATACTATTAAAATAATAATATTAAAAAATAATTTCAATATTACGGTACTAGTATTTATCACGGCTGAAAAACCTTAACGAATAAATCTTCCCGCTAGACGTATTCATAGAAAAAAATATGCATAACGCTCTGTAATGCACTCGGCTTAGGTAAAAGAGTTCGAAAGGCTTTAAACAAGTTGTAGCAAACATACACTGTGTTATGTTTACACAAACGTTAAAATGGTATGCAGTAGTTTTACAAATAGTATACGATCATGTTCGGGAAGGCGTACGGTGCTTGTGAAAGCTCGCAATGCGTGAGATGCGTGGGCGAACGGGATGTGGCGCCCGCTAACACCGTCGAGTTTTACGACGGTCTAGGTGATGAGCTTATGTAAACTATAATTAAAATAATAAGACAAACAGTAAAAAATATACACGTATGTATTAAATAATTTGTTTAGTAAAGCTCGGTATTTATGGATATTTCAAATTATATCTAGGTGTAAGTCAAATAACTTAGTTGCAGCATCAAATTGATTCAGAAAGTTCTCTATGAACAGAAGCGTTATTGACTCTGTTATAAACTATAACTCGAAAACTAATAGAGAAACACTATATTCAAATGGATTGTAATATTACCTTACTATATATATCTAGTACTAATGTGGAAGATTACTTTTGAATATTTAATAATATATATTTTCTTATTATAAAGGCTTGTGAAAGGTTTATTTTATATGTGTTAATAATAATAATATTCGGTATTAGTAGCCATTGAGACTAGTACTTTGCACGGGAGATATAGTGTTTTACTCCATTACTCTTATAGTTTGGTTGAAGAATCCGGCAAGAGAAAAGTCAAGTGCAGGATCAACTGCGCCAACTTCCGACCACAAAAGGTTTTCGTTTTATAACTAAAAAACCTACCATGTATATAATTTTAGCTTAATCAGAGAATCAAACCCAAGACCCACATATCCTGATATTTGAGACTTATTTTATTATCTATTCTTATTCTCTAAACGAAATTTCGTAAGAAAATAGCTTGAGAGCTTGGGAAGGACATAGGATTTTATCCCGGAAACCATCCCTTAAGGGCGTGAAAATGGGGTGAAAGTTTGTATGGAGAAGGAATCTAGGGACGAACCCAAGCAAAGCGAGGGTAAGTCGCTGATCACATATGTATACCTATAGGGTGGAGCGAAAAAATAAATAATATTATAATAATGCTACTTACTTACGTATTAACGTTTAGTATAGATTTCTCAGATTATTTTCCCGCGGTAAAAAGTATTCTATATGTTGACCCGGTTTACCAGCTATCATCATACCAAATTTCATCAAAATCCCTCTAGTGGTTTTTCCATGATGCGGTCACAGACAGACAAAAATTCTAAAAATATATATATTCGGCCTCTGCATCGATAATAATAACGATTTCAATAAGATTTTCCAAAAAATATTTAATGTACAGGTTCGACTCAGAATCTTATTATATGTATAGATAATTAATATCATTTCAAAAACAGTGGGCCAACTCAAAATTTTGAGTAAAAAAAATTTTTATTTCAATAATTTTGTTTTTATAAGCTACAAATTCTACCCCCAAATTAAGAAAAAAAAAATTTTTTTTTTCGTTCCGCCCTAATATACATACTATAGAATTGTATACCACATTATATTACCAATATTCATTGCTTAGCCATCTAATACACGTGCGAGATTATTCCAACCAATGCCGTTATTAGTAGCAATACCTACTAAGAGCAATCAACGTAATTGACTGTGCTTTCAAAATCTGAGTCAGAGAAAATACACAAGCTCCAAAAAATTATATATATACTTATATAATTATTTCACTAGTACCTACTGTAAAAAAATTGTTTTATCTCATTCCAAACAATGTTTTATATAAAAAAACCATGGAAATCAAGCTACCCGCTCGACATTCGTATAATAGGTACAGCTGTTTCTTTGCAAAGTGTGTTTGCAGCTTTTGTTCTGGGCGTGTGAGTACTCACAACGTGTAATTAATGTGGGCCATTTATGTAATAAATACTTACATATCCATTATTAACGATGACAAGTAAAAAACATAGTTGATGTAAATGATATATGAGTTGAAAATCTCTTAAATGTAAAGCACTGTACTTTGGAAAGCATATTTCAAAGATAATTTCCGCGACATATTCGTACTGTATCTCTTGATTCAGTTTACCCTAAACTAATCCCAATTTACTGAAACGATCACGTTGCGTTATTAAACCACCCTGTCAAACTACAACAAGCCGCTCAGTAATGCCACCCCTTTCCTTAAACACCGATACACTTCTATTATAGCACTAACTCAATTAATATATATACGAACCAATATGAACGCCTGTTTTTAAAATAAAAATCGTAAGGGAATAGCTTCTTTAAGATATCTAATAACAAGATAAAAATTCATTCCGCCTTCGTCGCTATAAACTGGAAACTGCAAACTATTATCGGTGGCGCTCGAGTTAATAAGAAGGCATTCTTGCTTAAAATTTTCTTTACTGTACAGGCGGGACGTTAACTAGAGATTATCATCACTTAATGAAAATATTCAAGAGCAATTATCTTTAAAATGACATCCTTAGCTCCTTCCGTCTAACTTCTAAATATTAACTTAATTGGCTGAGAGAGGGTTATAACAATTTAG